ACATGGACAAAAAATGATTCCTATCTTTTTGTATTTTTTAATATAATTTTAATCACTGAATTATATTCATCACATATAATAAGAGTAAATTATTTTATTGTCAATCATAACAAGGCATGAAAAGGCAAAGTATGTAATATGCTATGATTTTCTCTTAATCATAATTATGCTTCTTTCAAATGGACTGAGTGCCACATTGCACTAAGCTCTGGACTTACACATTGAGGATCTTCCCCCCACCCACCCTTTGTGCCTGACACTGGGAAAAGGCAGTAACAGGCCATCACTAAGCTCCTGAGGGTCACTGGGCATGTAAAATAATTGCTTTTTAGGTAGACAATTACTAATAGGACAAATCCAAATAAAAGTGTTGACTATGTTTCAGAAAGTAAAATTACTCTTAACTCTTGTCAGAAATTTCACTACAAGATGCCAGGAGTAGATAGATGCCATTGTGTCGATCAAAATGAACCCAATTTGTTAAGGTACCAAACACAAGATAAATCTCTCCTCAGTGGTGTAAAATAAAGGGCTTCAAGCAGCATGAGATCTCCCTCTGGCAAACATTTTATAACTCCAAAAACTGTATTTTACTTGTAAACAAGTAACAATTACTTTCTCAGCCTGTAAATATTTAAGCAATCTAACCTAATGACTTCTACTCAAATATATGTCAATACAATGGATAAAAATGTGCAATAATGTCTGTGAGCCAAACAGGAACAACCTGTTACTGCCATAACATAAGAAGTAGAGATATTTTACTTCTCCTTTAATTCCATATTTTATTTAGTGACTGTACCATATTCTGTAGACTTCTAGCGCTTCCACTGAATTTATGAGCCAAATATATTCTGCAAAGGAAACATTCTGTTTCTCCCATGAGCACCCAACTTTATTCATGTTAAAGATACTTTGGAAATAATTTGTAGAGTAAGGAAACTTATGGGAAACTATGGACATTTCACAACCATAAATGATACATCAGACAATTCCCAGACACACCAAAGTGAGATGGTCAGCTTCAGTAAATAAAAGTACAAGCCATCCAGTTGAGTTTGAATTTCAGATAAACAATAAATTTTCAAAATATAAATATGTTTCAAACTTTGCATGAACTGCACTAAAATATTAGCTTGTACTAAAAATAGTCATTATGCAAAAACTTTCTTCATTAAATTTAGTGTATCATCTAGCATACTAAAATTATTTCGCACTAAAAATTATTCATTGTTTATCTGAAATTCAAATTTAACCAGGCAGGCTGTATTTTATTTGGCAGTCCTCCACAAGGACATTTTGTAGTAGCAACGTCTTTCTCTCCTGTTAGACTGAGTCCCTTTATGGTAGGGATGGAGTCATTCATATTTGAATGGTCAGCCCCTAAAGCAATGTCTGATACAGAATAGATACACAATAAAAATGTGCTGAATGAATGAAGGAATGTAAAGGATGAATTTTAAGGAACTGAAATAAATATAGATATAAATATTTACTTTATAACTTATTTTATTGGTGTAGTTCAACAAAATAACTATTACTGGTACTGTCAAAGAGTGACGCCAATGTCAGCCCCACCTCTTTGGCCAACTGCCGTGAGAAACACACACCTATTATTCTCTTTCTGGCTACAGCTGGGGCCATGCTGTAACTGGAAATGGACACAACCTTCTTTTTGTGTGTGTGACCTCTGGACGCCCAGCTGAAACTTTGATTACACTTGAGGAAACCACAGCTCTGGACAAAAACCAAGATGGAGACCCAAATCTTCATTTGGATATTGAGGAATTCAAGAGCTTCAGGTGAAAAGTAAAGAACTCAAAGGTTCTCTCATGAACCACTCCTGGTTGTATCTGGATACAGTTCACCCTAAAATCCCAGATGAGACTCTCAAAAAGCAGAATGTCCATTCAGCTACCCAACGAACATATTTATTGTATCCTGTTTTGTTATTGCTTGGGTGGAAAGAAGTATTCTTCCAGGAATGTTCGAAACTCTGCATGTAAACACATATTCTCAGGACTGAAATGTGATTGACATGATAGGACATAATATAAATAATCTTGACCAGGACACACACACGCGTGATATAAATATAAAATACATTTTTATATAATATGTATTATAGAATACATATTTTATATTTATATCTATCTATGTATGAATAAATAGGTAGATACAAAAATAAATTTACACTGTGGATGAAACCATGTGGTTTTAGAGGTTTATAACTCTAATTCACAATGGCTAATGTATTCGGACTATGATGTGTGGTAAGACGTCTCAGAAATGATCATGACCCCCCCCGCAATAAAATTGTGAAATGTGAGATACAATATGTTTTTGTTGTTGCCGCCCTTCTGATATGTTCTCTCCTCCCACACCTGGGCTGTTGCAATGACCTAATTTTCTAAGGACCTGACCTCCAGAGCCTCCCACTCCATCACCCTTCCCCTGACTATCAGATCCACATTGGCTGGTCCTCCAAGTCCATTTTCCCTTGTTGTCACTCAGTCACATAGACGTGGTTGCCATTCTTCTCCTCATGCAAACGTTAATAACAACTTCACTACTCCCCAAGGTGACTTTTGTGCCTTCCCAGGTGGGTGACAATCTTTTAAAATATGGCAATGGAATTAGTAGAAACCACAGGATCCACCTGCCCTTTTTACCAGTGTAACTTTGATTTCATCAGTCCCTTTGTTTTGTGACCTAACACAAAAAAGTGACTAGTGATGTGATTTTTTTTTGATGAAGAGAGGGGAGTTAGGATGATATTTATTACTGTTGGATTGTTCTGGCAGCCTGCTGGCGTAGACTTGGTAACTGAGACCTCCTGTAATACCATGCATGCCCCAGAGCAAACCTACCTTCTAAACAGCTGAAGTTCTCAGAAGTTCTTTCGTGGTTCTTTCTTGCTTATTGTTTCAGGTATAAGCTACTCCACTAGGAAATCAGTGTTTCCCACAGTTTGACTCCACTCAATCTGCTCAAATTTAATTCACATTGTTTTTATAGCACATGACATCTGCTTTTCATTTCTATCCCCACCTCCTTGTAGATCATTTTTTTCCCTTGGCTAGTCCTTCTCCATTAAGTACACATCTCTAGGAAACCTTCTCTGCCTACTCCAGCCCGTGTTAAATCCTTTCTCTAAGCTCTTAGTGTGTTTCTAGTTTATCTACACTTCCTGCTAATGCTAGCAAAAATTTTCTTCCCAAGTGGAGACTCACACAAACAATCATCCATCCCCATAAAAACTTACAAAAATTACATTTCTCTTCTTATTCATAGGAAAAATAAGATCAAATGTCAATTTCTTAATATTTATATGTACTCCACAGCAAACATTCCAGATAGATTGGAATTTGTTATTACACGGCTGTAATCAGTTCCTTAAGCAACAGCAAATTACACCATTAGCTCTGTACATTTAACCTAGTGTTGAAAGGCTGTGTATATTAGTGAGAACTGGTAGTAATAGTCAAAATACATTCAGAACCCTATTTTGTATGTGATAAGGTTTTTTGAAATATTTAAGCTAAAATACTATTTTTGAACCGAGAACAGGACACAGGACTACACATTGTACAGATAACCTACATCAATGGTTCCTAAGAATACAAGGGATAATTCCAGAACTTGGCTTTCTGTGCCTTAGAGCGGATTCCGAAAAGGCTCCAAACTGGGTTTCAGGTAGGTAGAAAAACATACTTCTGCCGAAAGGATATAGAAACGAAAATCTTTGAAAAGCACAGATTTTCAGGGCTCTGGGCAGTCAGGCTCATGGAGGATACCAGTTGCCTCATCTTTTCATTTAGGCTTCAAATTAATTCCAACAAACTTTTAGGGTACACCTACTATTTTTGCCTTTGTGCTAGGGGCTCGGCTAGAACAGTAAGTAAGGCAAACTCCCTGCCGTCAAGGAGCTCACAGTCTAGTGACAGAAACCACCAGAGAAACAGGCATGTCCAGCAAGGCCTTTCCAGCGCGGAGGCAGTAGAAGGTACGTATTGTATTTCTGTTGTATATTCTTCAATCGAACAATTAAAAAAAAATCTTTCCGTGCGAATCTGTGACAGGAGGCACCTCGGTAGTTCGGTCTGGGAGGAACGTTGCAAGGTTGCAAGTTACCCCCAAGCAACAGCGCACAGCACGACAGTTTGATTGGAGCCTGGGGAAGGAGGGGCAGGGTCTCATTGGTCACAATCCGGGCTGGAGATTATTTGCGGTCAACTGCCCTAGAGGTAATGGGGTTTGGAACTACTTTGGGATTTGGTAAAAAGAAAGAAAATGGAGAAGGGGCCTCAGCTTACCCAGGAGCCCCCACCACTTGCTGATTGGACCCACTTAGCATCTGCAGGGAGGACAACAATAAAATGAAAAACATTTCCAGGGGTGAACCCCGAGGGTCATTCTCTGGCTGTGCGGGACAATGGGGGTCTGGCCTCCTCTGTTCTTCGAAAAGGATGAAGGAGTCTTAATGAAGAGACATTTTCCCCGCTAAGATTCTAAACCCCAGCGGGTTCCCCTAATTCCAGAGCAGCGAAGCCACCGGCAGAGCCCAGGGGGCGGGGAGGGGTGTCGCTATGTGAACGGCACTCCGAGCCTCGGGCCCGGAGGGACAGCCGCGCCCCCTCGCCCCTCCGCCCGCTGCGCGCGACCCCGGGCGGGCTGCACGCTCCCAGCGGCGCGCTCCCGCGCCCCCGCCCCCGCCGCGGCGCGCACACGCGGGCCGGAGCGCGCGCCCGGCACACAGGCTCCGCCGCGCTCGGAGCGCTCAGACCGCGGCCGCAGCCGGCCGAGGACACCAACTCCCGCGCGCCCGCCGGCATGCGCCTCGGCTAGCGGCTCCCGGCTCCCGCGACCGCCGCGCGTCCTGCCTGCGAACATTCCGGTCTCTCTCAGTCCCTCTCCGCTCGCTCGCTCGCGCTCCCTCTCGCTCTCTCCCTGCCTCAGACACACTCACATACGCGCACACACACAATCTCACACCAGTCTATACACTGGAGGAGAAAACATTTCCCTCGCGCCCCCTCCCTCTTCACCCCAAGAAGCTGAGCAGCCGCGTGGTGGGGGCCCTCGGACCGTCTGGAAATGCTAATCCTAAAGCGCTTTCTCGCCTGTCTCCAGCTCCTCTGTGTTTGCCGTCTGGGTGAGTGACCAGACCTCGGCGGGGTTCCGTCTCCGGGATCGTTTGGGACACGGTAGGGGAGGTGTGGGGGACCAGAGAGCCCGAGATACTCGCCGCCTCCGCCGCCATCTAGCAAGGAGGGAAACGCACGGGGGGTCGCCGGGGTCCACGGCGCCGCGGCGGCGCCCCCTCCCCACCTCGCACCTCGGCCACCTTCCATCGGCCGGGGGGATGCGAGCCCCGGCGCGAACAGGGAGGCTCGCCTTTCGCGGTCGCTGTCCGCTGGGCTCTGCTCTCTCCTCTTTTGCAAAGTGTGGTTAACAGCCTTCTAGGTTCACGTAAGAAGAGAAATCAAACCAAGGTGCGGGGCTACGTACTAGATCGCGGTTTTGCTTTTAAGTTCATTTTGGACCTGGATGAAAAATACACGTGCCTGATGCGAATTACACACACACACACACACACACGCACACGCACGCACGCCCTAAAGGTGGCAGCAGGAACAAGAACCAACCTGACTTTTCAGTGTTTTCTAGTACTTTTAATTTAGTCACATTCAAGTCTGGGCAGTTACCTTTAAAAAAAAAAAGTTTCAATCAAAATGTCTATCAACGTCTGCTACTGCTGCCAAAGTCAGAGGAAAGCTGCAGGTTCATATATTTATTCCTGGGTTCCTCTTTCATCCACCACCTTCCAGGTTATACATTCAATACTGAAATTGCAGTTTGAAACAACCAGTTAGAATATGTACCTGGGGTGCAGATTCACGTGTTCTAGTCGTTTTCCAGAAGAATTGTTAAGATTGGGTTTTTACATTTTGTTTCAAAAATCTTTTTTCCCCTCATGAAGATTTCCTATTATAATGGACTCTAATAGGTTTCGAGGTATTAACCTGAAAGTTAGGAAAGGTAACCTCAGTTTGTGAATACACATATTTTACTCTTTTCTGTTAGAGGATCCCACTTCTTTTTTTTAATTTGTGACTGTTCATTATAAAGTGGATATTAACTTACATTTTTATTCGATAGATGGTGCTGCTCTTGGAATAGTAACCTTTACAAAGAGAAATCATTTTCATGTTCTAACTAATGAGAATTACATTTCAAATACGGTGATAATTGCCAACAAGCCCCCTAGATACATGGACGTAATTTAAATGCTGAACACTTTACCGAAATACTCAGGGGTGATGTGATACACAAGGTTGACATTTAAGACTTGCAGGAGAATCTGGTCCTGGTTTTCTCTAAAACCCCAGAGTTGATTCTGGAGACGGGAAGACAATTTTTGAAAGTGCTGTGCTCATCAAATACACACCTGTTGAATTTGCATTTCTATTATAGATCTGTTTTAACAAGAAAGCTAGATCCTCTTGGTACTCAGATTATTAGATAAAGTAAATTTCACTGTAGTACAGAAATAAACCAGAGAATACTGCTTTGAATATATTATGAATTTTTAAAAATTGAATTGTAATTTGCATACCATATATTTCATCTTTTTTTAATGTTTGTTTTTGAGAGAGAGAGAGAGAGAGAGAGAGGGAGAGAGGGAGAAAACATGCGAGTGGGGGATGGGTCAAGACAGAGAGAGAGACACAGAATCCAAAGCAGGCTCCTGGCTCTGAACTGTCAGCACAGAGCCCTTGACTGGGCTCAAACTCACAAACTGTGAGCTCATGACCTGCACCGAAGTCAGGCGCTTAACTGACTGAGCCACCCAAGGCTCCCCTAGTTCATCTTTTTAAAGTGTACAATTCAGTGGGTTTTACTATATTAACAAAGTTGTGCAACCATCACCTCTGTTTAATTACAGAACATTTTAATCACTCCCAAAGATATCCCATTAACAGTTATTCCTTAATGTCTCTGACTCCAGCCCTGGCAACCACTAAGCTACCTTTTCTTTTTCTATAGATTTGCCTATTTTGAGCATTTCATGAAAATAGAATCATGCAATATGTGGCCCTTGGTATCTGACTTGGTTCATTTAGCATGTTTTCAGGATTCATCCGTGCTGTAGCCTGTATCAGTATTTCTTTCCTTTTTATGACTGAATGATATTCCATTCCAGTACTCCAGTTTGCAAAGTCTTTCTTAAATAAGCATTCTTTATAGCTCATTATTTTGGATCATATGGATTTCAGTTTATTGGATGTTTTCTTTAATGCTTTGATGATGTAAAATTTAACTACAAGGAATTAAATTAATGTCTAAGAGTATCGCAAGTTTATGTAATGATATCGAATGTAAGCCTGTATTAGAACTCAAAATGTACTTTTTTTGTGTGACTGACAAATGACTACTTTTGTATTCCCCATTATAACAAAGTTGACCTTTCACATTGTTGCCCACACTTTGACCTAGGGGTCAACTAAAATGGGATGAATATTTTTATTTCAGGGTAATGTTTTGAAAAACTGAAGCATATTATCTATAAATAAAACATGCAGCCTCCATTTCAATTGTTTTCCCCTCAACATGTGCTGTAGTATTTGTGAGTATATTTATCGACTCATCTTCAGGGTCCTTCGGGCCAACAGAGTGGCCTGGCACATGGAATAGATGCTCAGGAAAGGTCTGTCACCTGAGGCGTGCTGGGTCAGATGACAGCTCCAATACAGGTTGAATGTTAGGCTGCCATTCTTACTAGTATCCTAGGACAAGTTAGAGCTTCCATTAAGGTGTTCATGTTAACAATTAAGAGTGAGTTAGCAAGGAATGACTTTACCACTTTCTATGTTTAAAATGTCCTAATGTTTTCATCTGGACATAGAGACCAACTGCTTCTTTCAAAAAACTCTGCAAACAGAAAAAATTACTATTAAATCATTTGGACTCAAATAAATCCTTTCTTTACAAGTTAATACTAGGGATCACTGGAGACTAAAGAGGAACATTATGGTGTTTTTTTTTTTTTTTTTTGGTAGGTGCAGATTAAAGATTTTTGTGGGTTCATCTATCTGGGTAATTCTATCAGAATTGGCCTGTGGCCTCCAGTGTCTGCCAGAACTAGCTAGATGACGGTTCTCACACTTGTGTAAGCATCAGAATCACCAGGAGAACTTATTAAAACACCCATTTAGGGGCCCACTCTGAAGGGTTTCTAATTTGGTAGGTCTGGGGTGGGGCCCGGGAATCTTGATATCTAACCAATCCCCAGAAGGTGGTGATGCTGTTGGCCCAGGTCCATGCTTTGACAACTACTGGGCTAGTTTAACATTTAAATGTTGGCAAAGTTTCTGGATTCATGGCAAGTCTTTACTGTGGAATTGATTTCTGATACCCAACTTAATAATATTTTTAAAAATCACATGAGTTAGACAACCTTAAATGTTATTCAACCTGAAGGATATGCTTAGTCAGAGAGGCAGAAATTGAAGATGACTCCAGGATAATTCCCTGAGTGGATTGGACTTTCTCAGGAATATTTGAGAGGTTTTCTACGAGGTGGAGAACTAATATAGTGACTTTACAACTCTGTCATTTTTTAATCTTGACCCACTGAACAGGTAATAGGAAAAACTGCAGTGGCTTTCCTGTGAGGAGGCTTAACTATGAGTCATAGAGGAGAGGTAGGTGTTTTAAGAGCTTTTAAGGAATAGTTTCTCTCAACTAATGAGGATTCAGGATCTTTGAATTAAGTGAATTATCGCCATGCAAGGTACTCTAAATTCAAGAGTTTAAACATTACTGTGAAATAGGTAATGAATCAAATTCCGAGCTTTTAAGTTATATCTTACTGCTTTACGGAATATGTTAACTACAAATTGTACTCAATTCCTTTGTGAGAATTAAATGCTTAATTTATCCTGAGTATGGAATCCGTAGAATCCAAAATGTTGTGACTCTCCACTTGGTCTATTTATTCTCTGAAAACAAATTGTAACCAGGAATAGAAAATATTCACGCTTCTTTCCCCAAATAATAACTAGTCTCCATTCAGGAAATTAATTACTTTTGATTTGCAGAGGAGCAATTTTCTTTATTTTGTCTCATTCTCCTTTTTATATAGACTGTACGTGCTTTCGCTCAGGAAGTTTGCCAGGATAAATCATTTCATTGATGAATTCATTTATGCTCTTATGCCTACGCTAGATATTGGGGAACTTTCTTAAAATTTTATGTTGTGGGAATTTTGCTTCTGGCAAAAATTCAGGTTCAGGTTTTTCCGGAAACATGAGCTGCATTTCCCCATCCCCCTTTCTCCAAATAGCTTTGTGTTATGTCTAATCTAGTAGCTTTGCTTGACCATTCATTTGCTAACGTTCAGGTTCCCAGCTTAAGGGGTAGAAATGGAACCCCTCATTCAAAACCAGAGGATCTCAAAAGAAGGACTTGGTTAAGAAGATGAGCTTGTGTCTTATTTCCATTTACCGTCTACTCGGTATTTTCCAAGGGCTGAATATTTTATGTACATTTTCTCATTTCATTCTCCTCCAAGCCATTTGAGGTAGGTGTTTTCATTTTACACATTTTACAGCTAGGAGAATGAAACACAGAAAAGTCTAAGGACCTACCTAATATCACACAGCCTGTCTTAGCCCGTGCGTTTCTTCTGAATCTTGAGACTGAGACTTTTCTCTTTTCTTTCCTAGGAGAACAGTTTGCTGTTTGGAATTTACTAGCTTGCTTCATACTAGATATGATGCTATACTCACATTCTCACATGTGCTTCCTTGCAGATCTCCATTCATGATTTTCCCCATGTGCTCCCATATTCTTGTTCCCCCATTAAAAAACAACAACACCACCACAAAACTAAGGCATAATTTACCCTTTCTAGTGTACCATCTTGGAAGTTTTGGCAAATGCATATGGTCACTTAATCACCTTCATCCAGTATTCCCATCAATACTATTTTAACTACTCTTTCATTGTGTGTTTACTAAGTTCTTGACATCTGCTAGGCAGTAATAATTAAGCAGTGTGTAAACATACGGAGTCCTAACACTCACGATGCCTCCAATCCAGCTGATCTGCTTCAGTCCCCACTATGAAAATCTTCTTTAAATCTCACTT